TCTGAAGACTAACACACATTCTATACTTACATTGAAAGGTCACTTTGGTACCATTCGTTGCTTACAGTTTGACTCCAAAAAGGTTGTATCTGGTAGCAATGATAAAACTCTACGAGTATGGGATATTGAAGAAGGGTCAAGACACTATGGATTATGTGTTGGTATTCTTACTGGTCACAGTGCTCCTGTGCGATGTCTGCAAGTCGGAAAAATGCCAAGGTATTGGTGCCAGGAGGGAATCTCAGAAGAAAATCAGGTGCTTCTTGTGTCGGGCGCTTACGATTGTGCAATCAAAATATGGAGAATAACTTTACATCCACATCAGTCTAAGTCTTTGGAGTCTAGAACAGAACACAAGTGTGTAAGGACTTTGATAGGACATAGAGGACCAGTGATTTGCATACAATACGATGTAAAAGAGAGCAATGGTACATTAGAAAGTAGATTAGTGTCTGGATCTGCTGATTTTAGTATAAGATTGTGGGATCTCGTTTCTGGTGAATGTTTGAAAGTATTCGATGGACACACAGACTCAGTGACCTGCTTGCAATTTGATTCCTACAAAATAGTGTCTGGCTCCCTTGATTCCTCTGTCAAGTTCTGGAATATTGATACAGGAATGTGTGAACAAACAATCGATTGGGTTCGAAGTGAGGGTCATCGTGGTATTGTTAGAAATCTGAAATTTGATCAATGGCTTATGATATCTTCTGGAGATGATAAGACTCTTAAAGTCTGGGAGTTTTTAAATACATCTGGTAACAAGGTCGGAAGTATTGGAGGCCTGAGAAGAATGCTCACCCTGAAACGACACACTGATGGTGTTACATGTTTACAGTTTGATTACAAAATGATTGTAAGTGGATCCTTTGACAAAACTATTAAACTTTGGGATTTCTCTGCTCCTTAGATCAAATAGATTACTGTTTCGTGTCGCATGTTCTGTTTTAGTGCGTCCGCCGAAAGATTTTTTGTTGTTCTCCAATCGTCAAACCCATGTCGAAGAAGGACATCAAAATCGACATACCACAGAAGAGTAGCCAAGCGGCACAGCAACAGCCGCATGATATCAAAGTCATTTCTCTGGTTATCGCTTTCTACTGGGTTGTTTCGTTTTCTGTTGTATTCCTGAACAAGCACATCATGTCTTCAAGCGAGAACAAGTTTCCTTATCCTTTGATGGTTACGTACTACCAATTTGTTGTTGCGCTTCTCCTTCTGGTCTCTCTTGGTCAATTAGGGAAGAGCATTCCGATGTTCTCCATAGTCCCTCCGTTTGAGTTCAACAAGCGCATCGCTGGCGAAGTGTTGCCTCTTACAATTGTTTATGTTCTGATGTTGGCGCTTAACAATTTATGTCTGCAGTATGTCGAAGTCACATTCTATCAGGTCGCTAGAAGTCTTACGATTCTATTTAATATCATCTTTACTTACACTTATCTTGGCCAGAGCACTTCCAAAGGTGCTTTGATCTCCTGCGCAGTTGTGTTCTTTGGCTTTGTATTTGGTTCTTATGGTGAGTTGAATTTCAGTTGGAGGGGTGTAATTTTTGGTGTTGGCTCTTCATTCTTTGTCGCATTGTACGGTATTTATGTTAAGAAGACTCTGATTGTTGTGGATAATAACCAGTGGCGCTTGCTTCACTATAACACAGCCTTATCGCTTTTGGTTATGTTGCCATTCATTTGGTTTTCCGGTGAAGTCGAGCACGCTTTGGAAAATGTTACTTTCTGGCATGATTCTAGTTTTTGGACGATCATGACTGTTACTGGAATAACAGGATTCCTTATTAATATTGCTGTATTCTTGCAGATCAAGTTCACAACACCATTGACAAATACGATATCAGGAACAGCTAAAGCGAGTGTACAGACAATCTTGGCATGGTTCATTTGGCAGAATATTATAACTGCAACTAATGCTTTCGGAATATTTTTGTCTTTATTGGGATCATCCCTGTACTCTTATGTTAGATACAAGGAAATGAAGAAATAAACTCACTTGTTTTGTCCACGATGTAGTGCCCTTAAAACTCTGTAACGATCCATTAGAACATCCCAGTCGACATAAGTTCCTTTCAAGTGTCTTCTTCCTGATTTCCCATCAAACGCTTGTCTTCCATGAAGGACTCTTCTGTTGGCAAATACGACACAGTCTCCAGGGTTCAAACGTATTTCATAAACGAATGATTTATCTCTCATGTATTCTCCTAAGACTTTGAATGCTCGGTAAAACTTTTCTACTTTGTCCGCAGGAGCAGATAAAGGTCCTTGGAACGGAGGTGCATAGTATACTTCAACTAAATGGTTCAAATCATCAACTGTGATAGTAGGTCTTGAGAATTTCAAGTGATGATTATTGTTGGCGTATTCAAAAGTCACAGGAACTTGAGTTAGAATTCTGAACTCTTCAGGATGATCGCGTTCCATTAGAGAAACAATCTTGTGCATATCCAAGAAGATAGACTCACCACCAGTAGCGCTATTCTCTAGACAATGTAGTAATTGTAAACCTGGAGGAGATTCAAAATACATCAAGTCCATATGCAAATCAAGAAACAACGAGGTATATGCAATGTTCTTTGCTTCTGGCACTGAAACAACGTTCCAGCTCCTTCCGTAAAAAGTTTCCCTGATAGGCCCAAATCTCTGAGCAACAGTTTCCACCATGTTGATATCATGAATGGGAACATTCTTGATAAAGCCAATTCCATACCTCTGAAGCAGATCAACAAAATGGTATAAGTGTTCATCATTTTTCTCAGGACTCATAAAATCGGAATAATCTTTCCATAAGTTCACATCCCGGAGCAAACTCGCATCCCAAAGTTGAAGCGGATGATCATTCTTGATGTTCTTCCTTAAAGAATGATCAGAATAGTCACATTTCCGTAAAAACTCAAAATCGTACTTGCTTTTATGCTGCGTGATTTGAGTATCCGTTGATAGAGAATGTGACCAAGTTACTTCAATACCAGAAAGATCAGAGGTCATGTTCACCGAAGCAGGTTTTATGTTCAGAGGAATATCCGCAGAGCTAATGAGCTTTTGCTTAGAGGACGGATGAAAGCACTCAGGGCATCTGCATGTATCTCTAAGCCACATATGATGAAACTTGCTTGATGAGTACGGCGACCAATTGATCTTGATTTGGTTCTCAAGAACTTGATACTCAGGATATGTGACCTTCTTAACATTTCCAGTTGTAAGACCTCTCTTTATGAAGCATTGAGAGATTAAAGAAGCCCTGGTGGATTTCGCAACAGAATTTAATCGAAAGATCATAAAGCAAACCAAGTCGCAACGATCACGGTTTTGAAACTGCAACTTTGCGGATCAAAAAATTTTCAAATTTTCAAATTTTCCAAATCGACCAAGAATGGACACCGACTATATTAAACCAACTAACGTGACTCCAGCTTTGGACACATCCAACTGGCCTTTGCTATTGAAGAATTACGATAAACTGAATGTGCGCACTGGACATTACACGCCTATCCCATCTGGTTGTTCTCCTTTGAAGCGTGAACTCACTGAATACATCAAGTATGGTGTTATGAATCTTGATAAGCCAGCAAATCCATCATCCCACGAAGTTGTTGCTTGGATCAGAAGAATCTTGCGCGTTGAAAAGACTGGTCACTCCGGAACTCTCGACCCAAAGGTTACTGGTTGCTTGATCGTGTGCGCTGATCGCGCTACTCGTTTGGTAAAGTCTCAGCAAGGCGCTGGTAAGGAATACGTTTGCGTTTTGAGATTACACGATAAGATTGAAAGCGAGAAGAAATTGGTTGATGCTTTGGAGACTTTAACTGGTGCTTTGTTCCAGCGTCCTCCTTTGATCTCTGCTGTGAAGCGTCAGTTGCGTATTAGAACCATTCACGCTTCAAAATTGTTGGAATTCGACAATGAACGTAATTTGGCCGTGTTTTGGGTTAGCTGTGAAGCAGGAACTTATATTAGAACATTGTGTGTTCATTTGGGTCTGCTTTTGGGTGTTGGTGGCCACATGGAAGAACTTAGAAGAGTTCGTTCTGGTGCAATGTCTGAGAATGATAATCTAGTTACTATGCACGATGTTTTGGATGCTCAATGGGTTTACGATAATACTCGCGATGAATCTTACTTGAGAAAAGTTATCATGCCTCTCGAATCATTGTTGGTTGGATATAAACGTGTTGTTGTCAAGGACTCTGCTGTAAATGCTATCTGCTACGGTGCAAAGGTTATGATTCCTGGTTTACTTCGTTATGAGAACGACATTAATGTTAACGAGGAAGTTGTCATCATGACCACTAAGGGTGAAGCTATTGCTTTGGGTATTGCTCAGATGACAACTGTTGAAATGGCAACATGTGATCACGGAGTTGTTGCAAAAATCAAGCGTGTCATCATGGAGAGAGATACTTACCCACGTAAATGGGGTTTGGGACCAAAGGCATCTGAAAAGAAAAAGATGATCAAGACTGGTGCTTTGGACAAGTATGGTAGACCAAATGAGCAGACTCCAGATCAGTGGAAGCAAGGTTATGTTGACTATCAAAGAAACGACGTAGAAAATGCAGCTCCAGAAAAGGTTGTTCCAGAACCACAAGAGCAACAAGCAGAACCTGTAGTTGAAGCAAAGGTAGAAGAATCCGTTGAATCTGAAAAGAAGAGAAAGGCCGAATCATCTGATAGCAGTTCTTCTGAAGACGAGAAGGAGGAAGTTAAGGTCAAAGAGGAGAAGAAGGAAAAGAAGGAGAAGAAAGCAAAGAAAGAGAAAAAGGAAAAGAAAGAAAAGAAGGAAAAGAAAAAGGCAAAGACCTCTGATGATTCTGAGGAAGCAAGGAAGGAGAAGAAAGAGAGAAAGGACAAGAAGTACAACAAGAACAAGAATAAGTCCAAAGATGAATAGAATCTGATTTGATGTGAAAATATGAGCCGATTATTAGAGTAGGAAGGTAAAAGCGCATAATGCTTGGTTTCAAAAAGGCACGTAAAAATTCTTTCAAAGAAACTGGCTCAATAGTTCAGTGGTAGATCGACTGTCTCGTAGTTTTTATCGCGTTAACAGTAGGTCCCGGGTTCAATCCCCGGTTGGGCCTTTTTAACAAATTTCAAGTGTTGGATTTACTTTTTGACCTTTCATTTATTTCTTACGCATGTTAGTAACATCCACCTTTATTCTCCTCTTAAGAGGGAATAGCTGGCCTGAAGAATGAAACGCCCGCTTTTTCACGATATCGCCTTCCTATGTAAAACGATGCGAGACCAAAGAACCCAAGGAAAATATCAATTGGTTTTGAGAGCAGAACTAGAAAATAGACTGATTGCATATACTGAAAACACAATCCTGTTGAAAATAAGACCATCCTTTGCCGAAATATTCCAAGTATTGACACTGCATTTCCAAACAGCACAATACCTTGTAACACGATCAACGATATGTTTCCAGAATAGATTGCTGTACCAGCAATATTGATCAATGAAAATAAACTTAATAGCCCAACAGATATATAATACAACCTCAGCAAAAGCTTTAAATCCTTTTCAGAAGTCGCAGATGGAAGCAGAACCAATGGGGGATTAGTCAAAGATATTGTTCCATCTTCAGTTGGTTCTTCAGCAATCTTCTTTCTCGCACTATCAGATACTTGAAGCAATTGACCGATTTCAGTCACCCTCTTACCGACCACTGAAGTTTTATTTGGTAATATGATCTGAGACGGAATCTTATCGAATAGAACTTCTCGAGGATCTTTGCCCTTATCTTTGCGTTTGAATATTCCATTGTAAAAGTAAATCCAATTATTCGAAATCTCCAAATCAACTTTAGTATCGACTAAAGTGTTCACATTCAAACTGTTTGAATTGCCTTCTTGTGCCATCGGTTTATTCTTGAGACAACTTGTCTTGATTGAGAAAAAGCTTACTGATCTTTCTTGCTACTCACATGTTGCCTTTTCCAATACGAAATACTTCTGTTCGGCTGGTAAATGTTGAGCCAGTTTCTCCGTCATCGCAGGACTTTTGGGAGGATTACATTCAAGTCAGATTAGCCCAGCTTAAACAGTGTCTGGTATACTCAGCTAATGATCATACAAAGCAAAAGCTGAGATTTGGCGATATATTGCAAAGCTTTCTTGCTAATGAAACCCGGCCTGATTATACATTCATTGTATTCCTAAGAAGATTTGGCTGTCCAGTCTGTAGAGCAGTTAGCACAGGATTATCACGATTCGTTAAAGTGTTGCAGGATATTGTGCGGATTAAACTGGTTGCGATAGCCATAGAAGATATCGGATTTGAAGAGTTCAGAAGGCAGAAGTATTTTAGCGGAGATATATACATTAACGAAGATGGTTCCATGTTCAAAATGATGGAACTAAAGACGCTCAGTATAAAGAATGGATTTGGTATATTCGATACACCAAAGATGAATGCAGCTGTAGCTCTTTCTGCCGGAGACTATTTTAATCATACCAGAGACTTTAATGGTAATCTGGTGCAGCTGGGCGGGTTCTTCGTGCTGGATAACAAAATGGATAAGTTTCTGATGAAGTTCAAAGAAGACTACGCGGGTGATACTCCGGTTGTTGATGAACTATTGCAAGTTCTTAATCTATCAGCTGATTTGATGGAGCGTTTCAACAAATACTCGGACGCTCGACCCATGAAGATTCTTAATCTGGCTCAGCAAGTACAAAAGGAAATTCTGGCATCATCTGAAACTTAATGGCTGCCTTATATTTTTGCTTTTTTAATTATTCCTAGCCTTTTCTTAATATACCATATCGCTAGCTTTTTCTTAAATTCTCCTAATAGAAACGCCGCTGGTTTTTTTTCGCATGAACACTATGTTGATTCAAGTTCCGGACGTCGCAGTTGATATTTCGGCCAGCACTTTGACTTTCAAGATTGTAGTCAGTCCAGAAGTAATTTCTTCCTTTCATAATGTTCCCTTCTTATCTATTCTTTGTGGTTTAGGATGATAGAGCTACAGTGCTGTTTAGAACTTTTAAACAAGTCGAGTGGCTGCATGATAAGCTGGTCAATAAGCACAGAGACCTTTTTATACCTCCATTCCCTGAAAAGCCAACATCATACGAGGCAGATTACATTGAAAAGAAGCGCCTTCAAGTTGAGAGGTTCCTAAGAAAGATCTTTAGTCGCAAAGAGATTGTCGAAGATGGTGATACTCAATACTTTTTATCAGAAGCAATGACACCTTTGGATATATCAAATGCCTCTTCAAAGAAGTCTTTAGGGCAGGGAAAGAAGTCTAGTATAACTGGTTTACTGGGATTTGTTCTGAAAACTGATTATCATCAGGGCTTTCGGGTATTTGTGGCTAGCGAGTACGTAGTTGAGGGCATTGATGATCAGGATGAGTTTTTGACGAGGAAGAATTACATTTTGACAATGGAGAACAATTTTAATGCGGTTGTGGATGCAACTTCGAAAATGATCAAACTTAAAGAGAGTCTGGCCAGAGTTACACATAATATGGGAGCTGCTTTTGCTGAGCATTTGTCTGAAGCTAATTTTACGTCTGTATTCCAAGAGTTTACTCTTAAATCGAAACAAATTTCACATGATAAAACCAGGAATGAAGTATTTTCCTTTGGAGACATCATGCTGGAGTACAGCCATTCGATGATCTCTTTGAAGCGGTTGATGAATGAACGAACAGATGTGCTTGTGGATTATGTCGAAGCATGCAAAACTAAAGCAAAGAAGTTTGAGAAAGTTCAAAAACTGAAGTTAAAGGGATCTGTCGTTGTTGATGAGGAGTTGGCAGCTGTTGAAGAACAGAATCAGGTAACTTTCGCTTTTATATCTTTTATAACTTTAAAGGCTGATTTGGATGTTGACAAGAAAAAGAAACTGTTTGAGCAAGTGAAAGTTAGTCTTACAAGAGAATTCGTGAGGTTTGAGAAGGACAAAAGTCGTGATATTCGACAAGCGCTCAAAGACTACGCAGCTATTCAAGTTAAATATGAAACACAGAAGACGGATCTGCTAAAAGACGTCTTGGCTCAGTTGGACTCAATGAAACCACAACCTCAATAGAATTCTTAACGTAAAGCTTTTTTCATTGCAATCAAGCAACAGAAAATGATCAAGTTGGACAGAACACCAAAAACAGCGCGTGGAAAGAGGGCCATGAAGAAGATGGAGCCTAAAGTGGAAGAAAACACGAAGGCTGCCCTGTTTTTGAAGGGTAATAAGGCGTCACAGATGCTCCAGGATCTTTCTACTGATTTGGCATTGCTAAAGAAACCACACGCTGTTACTTTATCAAAGAAGAATGATATTCGACCATTTGACGATACAACAGAGTTGGAGTTCTTAGCGCAGAAGAACGATACGTCCCTTTTTGTATTCTCAAGCAGCAACAAGAAGCGCCCTAACACTGTACTAATTGGTCGCATGTTTGACGGCAAAGTTCTTGATATGATGGAAATGAATGTGTCAGATTACGAAGGGATACGCGCATACGGAAATGGATGCGGTGTTGGTAAGAAGCCATTAGTCGTGTTTTCTGGAGAAGCTTTTTCGAAGGAGAGTGGCGTTCCTGGTATGGTTAAATCTTTGTTCTTGGACTTCTTCCGCGGTGATAAAGTTAAGGAGATTGCTTTGAATGGCTTAGAACATGTGATCTCTGTCACGGCATTGGGTCAGGAGAAGTTTAACTTCAGAGCGCACACTATTCAGTTAAAGAAATCCGGAACCAAAGTACCGCGAGTTCAGCTTCAAGAAATGGGTCCACATTTTGATTTCACTGTTGGTAGAGTTAAGGAAGCCGACGAAGAGGCTCTAACTGAAGCACTCAAGGTTCCTGCACAGAAGAAAGCTAAGAAGGAAAAGAATATTGCTATTGATGCTCTCGGAAAGACTGGCCGTATTCATGTTGGTAAACAGGACTTCGCTAAGTTGCAGACAAGAAAGATGAAGGGTTTGTCAAAAAGAAAAATTGAACAGGTTGAGTAAGGAACAATAGATTTCAAAAAATTTAGTATTACTATTGGTTTTGAATTTCATAAACCAAAGCGTAGTCTTCTTCTAGCAATGAAGATAGCAAAGCTTGACCTTTTGGTGCAAAAGATCCATCATCGCCAACAAAACGTCCATTCACACGTCTTCCATCCATCTGGCTCAATCTCTGACGCAAAGATTCAAACTTGGCGTCTAATTCAGTCTCAAGTTTTTTAGCAACTTCTGTTGAACCATGTTGAGTCGCATAATGTGCAAAAGCTCTTTCACTTCTAACTTTCTTCAAACCATCTCTAATAGAAATCAATTCTTGATGGAAGTTTGATAACTTTGGATCAACAGATTCTCCAACATTCAAGTTTCTAGCAAAGAAAGAGTTCAAACTGGAATAACCACTAGAGATCAATGCACCGACATTAGAAGAAGCCTTAATTGTGCCTTTCTTCAAGTGATCGACTGCATCCCAGATACTCTTTTGCAAGGTATGCGCCTGTTTCTCTTCGATTGCTTCTTTGTCAAGACTATCCAAAACTTGTTTCAACTTTGCAAACACGGGCGTTCCCTCAACAGCATCATTCGTAGGACCAGAAAGCAACTCATGAACTTTATCATAAGCCTCTTCCAACAAAGACTGAATAAAAGCCTGTCCTTCTGGAACAGCATTTGGGTCAGACGAAGGATTCCAGTCAGCAGGAACAAATTTTCCGTCCTTCTTGGATGCATCAATTGAACGCAAAGTTTCTTGTATCAACTGTAACTTTCCTAAATGAACAGGTTGACCGGTCTTCTCCCTATCAGCTGCTAATGCGTCCAACTCTTTGATAGCATCTTCCAAGCGCTTTTTTAACGGAGCCAAGAATTGGTTAATAGGTTCATTTGCCAACAACAACAAACGCGCAGCACGATGGGTATGGTACAGCAAAGTGAACATAACAGCTAAATATGTTAAGTTTCGAACCTCAAACCAAAAGAACCTTGCCCAAGACCAACTTCACCTTTAGCAGTTAAAAACTTTTGATCTTTAACGTTTTGATTCTCAACACGATTAATTCTGTCCTGAATGAGCGAGACTTCCTTATTTGAATAGTAGCCCCTTCTCTTAAGATGT